ACTTGGCACAGTTGTTGGCGTTGGTAAAGCATAACAAATGGAACGAAATTTTTAAAATCGGACAATAACCACGCGCACATCCGCATATAACGGTAATTTAGGGAAATACAAAATCTTCGAAAAATCAGTAAATATTAAAGCTAATTTATTCAAAATTGATGCTTGCAACAGTTCTTTACCAGGAAATACGTTTATGATAAAATTTTGGAAATTGGGCGTCGCACCGCCCACTTATGATCACGTATATGTATCTCGGTAACCGTTCTGTACCAAACTCGGTATGGTTATTGTACTTGCCACATAAAAGCCACATAAAATGTTGCAAATTATCGAAAGCGGACTAAAATTACGGTCGCTTTTCATGTAACGGTAAATTTCAGAAATGCTTGAATCTTCAATATATCGAAATTTAAGGACGCTAATTTACTCAAAATTGATACACCCCGGCTTACCATGTAGCGGTAGCTTTCGGAAAGGTGAAAAACAAATATTTAATACTTGCGCCGGGTATTTAATGTTCGGCTCCTAGTTTTATTAATGATTCTTATGTAAAAAGACTTGATCTTTCGATAGAGATAACAATATTCCAAATCACCATAATTGAGAAAAATTACAAATAAATTTTCGTTCAGCATTTTCGCCATGAAAATGGGAAAATTTTGGAAAACGCATGGTACCTTCGGATATCCCGTACAAAAATCTATAGAAATCATAGTTTTCGAATTATTTTTACCATTTGCTGTCTAATTCCCAGCTAGTGGAAAAGTAACTTGTTTTGCACCGCTCAGCGCGCTTGGGACATTTGACGTGAATTGCCTCTTATTCGGTATATGGACACGGTCAAAAATTTGGGTTTAATTTTTAAACCGCACTGGGACTACTGCCTTTTTTAAACTTTTATAGTCTACTTTTTAAACCAGTCAATAGTTTTACGCAATTTTTAATATATTCTGGTTTAAATTTTAGCCCAAAAAGTACGTGGTTTAAAAATCAAACCAAAATGTTTTAATTCTAGTTTCTAGGTTTCATATATAGAAAATTTGGTTTAAAATCTAAACCGAAATAGAATATGTTTGCACAGCGAATTGTGGTGTTGATTCAAACTCAACATATGAAAGCACATTTACATGCGTGGCTGTAGCTGAGTGTGCAAAGATGCTTGATACAATTGGTTGCTACCAAGGCTGTCCGGGTTCAATCCCAACCAGACGGAGCATGAAATTTAAGATTGTTTTTTTTTTATTATTAATTATGAAAATGTTTGGGTTTAACATTTAAACCGAATTGTTTAAATTCTAAACCCAACATATGTGCTCTCTTTTTTTTAAACCTGGAAGGTTTGTATTTGAAACTGAATTTAGTTTGGTCATATATGTAGTCCAAAAAGTTTAAAATTAAAACCGAAATTTTTAACCGTGGAGGATGTTCCGCGTTTTCTTCCACATAAAAATAGAGTTTGCTTATGTATATGAAGGGTTTTCGTCCATTTAAAAATAGATTTTGATTATGCGTTATATAGAAGAAAACGCGGAACACCCCCTCCCCCCCAAAAAAAAAATATGAAAAATCAACGGTAATTTTTAGCGTCTTGTAACTTGCACTTTGTTTTACTAAAATTAAACGCGATATAAAACTGCATACTCGAAAATTTTCTAGAAATTCATTGTCAGAATTCCACTGCAGTATGATGATAACAATTAACAATTTCAAACAAACGCATAGATCCCGCCAACGCCAAACGAACAGATAGCCATAGTTGCTTCAAAAAGGCCCAAAACAAAAAGAAAAGGTCCAAAGGCCCAAACGGAGAAAAAAGGTTAATATTTGGTACAACTGTACCAAGTGGCAACCTTGGCTACAAGCCGGATGGAGAACAACATGAGATATGTAGAAGGATTTACGGAATGAAGGCGAGCGCGGTGAGTTAGTTAGCAGCAGAAGCTCAAAAGATAAAATACAAGGCTGACGAAATAAAAGTATACCATAAAATGATGTAGGGATTGACCTCAGTAACGTGGACAGTCTGTTAGTAAACATAATTAAAGAAATGACTCAAGGATCCTTATTAGACAAAATCTATAAAGAACAGGACCTTCATAAGATTTTAGGCATAATGACAAAGAGAAGATTCAAAGATACATGCATACGATCAGAATTAAAAAAATTAAGAAAAACGGACGGACAGTATAAAAATAATAAAGGTTATTATGAAAATAAGCAAAATGAAAAATTTCCAAACAGGGGAATAAATCTGGCCAATTTAAACAAAATTACCAGTACTTTTCAAACTATAAAGGAAGCCCTAGGGCTGCTCGATTTTTTTACGTGAAATCAGTACCTTAGACTTTTCCTTGCCACAAAAATCAGTACCTTTCTGTATACTTTTATTCAAAGCAAAATTATGAATGTTAGTAACAGAAAATACTTCAAAATGTCGGAGTACTTGTTTTTTAACAATATTGTTCTATAGCATTTACACATTAAGTTATACTTTTGGCAAATAAAATGTATCTTTTGGCAAATAAATTTAATATTTTGGCAAATAAATTTAAACTTTTGACAAATAAAATTAATCTTTTGGCAAATAAATTTAATCTTTTGGCAAATAAATTTAATCTTTTGACAAATAAAATTAATCTTTTGGCAAATAAATTTAATCTTTTGGCAAATAAATTTAGCTTTTGGCAAATAAAATTAGTCTTTTGGCAAATAAATTTAATCTTTTGGCAAATAAAATTAAACTCTACTATAGTGTTTGAAAAAGTAAAAAAATACACTAACTACGCTACCATTTATATAGGCCATCCTCTTCTCAGATGACATTCGATCTTTGAAATCGAGTCAAAAGTAAACATTCAAAAACTCATAAATCTACAAAACAGTATTTTCTAACCTAAAACGACAGGTCGCGACCTCTAAATGACCTTTAAAATATCTATAAAAATACGCAGTAATATTTCTCATAAAAACGAATAAAATTAGGAGGTAGGGTCTTGAAATATCCAAAAAAAAACATTTTCGACGAGCACCTTAATGTACATAGTATGCACATAAATAATTTTTTTTTTGTACCTGCGTTTGAAAATATAGTAAGGCAGTTCAAGATTTGTTGCATTTTAGATGTTTTTTTATCCCATTGCGTAGTTTGGTTGAAATAAAATGCGCCAGATAGTTTGACGAATATTTGAGACCATGCTGTGACAGAACTGTTTGAAAGTGAGCAGTCAAATCAACAGAACAGAGAAACCAAAAAACACTTTTCAGCTTTCCTGGAGGTTAACTGTTAATATTGGCGCAGTAAAGCTAAGCGTCAAAAGTGAAAAAAAAATACTTTCCTAGCACAGCAACAGCAGTTTTTTAGTGTATTTTTTACTTTTTCAAACACTATAGCAGAGCTTAATTTTATTTGGCATTAAATTTATTTGCCAAAAGATTAAATTTATTTGCCAAAAGATTAATTTTATTTGTCAAAAGATTAAATTTATTTACCAAAAGATTAAATTTATTTGCCAAAAGATTAATTTTATTTGTCAAAAGATTAAATTTATTTACCAAAAGATTAAATTTATTTGCCAAAAGATTAATTTTATTTGTCAAAAGATTAAATTTATTTACCAAAAGATTAAATTTATTTGCCAAAAGATTAATTTTATTTGCCAAAGGATTAATTTTATTTGCCAAAAGTTTAACTTAATGTGTCAATGCTATTTATAAATAAAATGTAGTTCATAAAAAATAAGAATGTCATTCATTTTAAGATAGTGTACACATTAACATTATGGAGTATAAAATACCCTTATAATATCATTGTACACAGGAGCCAATTAATTATTTAATATTTATTACATTTTTGAATAGCAATAATGAAATCATTTCCACTTTCAGTGTTTAAATAATCAAACAACTCTTTACATTTTATTTTAAAATTACTTTAAATTTGGAGTTCACTTTCAAAAATTTTAATTAGAAGTGGGTTTCTCTCTTTGCTCTAGGAAGGAAACATTTACTTAAGATCCTCTCAGTTCCTCAGTCTTCTCAGTCGTTTGAGTGTGGCATTGGGCGCGTTTCTAAAATTGTGTTTGCATTGTTCAACTTTGCGTTCAACATTTGCGTTCAACTCAGCGCAGGGTTGCACGAAAAAAAAGTTGAATGGCTAAAAATATGAAAATATGAAAAAATATCAAAATATGCGCCATAAAAAGGTGTTTGCATTGTTCAACTTTGCATTCAACTTTTTGTTGAATGGCCTTTCAACTAATCGCTTTCAACAAAGTTGGTCGCCAGCCAACATTTAGCCATTCAACTTTTTTTTCGTGCAACCCTGCGTTGAGTTGAACGCAAAGTTGAATAATGCAAACACTGCTTAAGACGCAACTGTTTACCTCAACTGTTGCTGAAATGCTGTCAACTGTTGAGTTCAACAGTTACGTCTAAGAAACGGGATGATACATTAACTGCCAAAACATTTGTAAACAAGCTAAATTAAATAAAACAGCACAAAAATAAAAAAATATGGATAGCACAGGATTTATAATGGAGTTTTTCTTATTTAATTTTTAACCGACTTCCAAAAAAGAAGGAGGTTATCAATTCGTCGGAATATTTTTTTTTTTATGTATGTTACCGCATAACTTTGGACCACGTCAACCGATTTCGATAGTTCTTTTTGCAATAAAAAGGTAGTGTCTCAGAGGTGGCCCATACTAATTTGGTTTAGATCCGATCATTGGATCATGAAATATATATACATATATATATTTTTTTAAGTTGGTTTTTTTTTGCTAAAAATTACTTGTTAATATATGTATTTGTACGTGCATTTTATTTTATTAAAAGCCAGTTTTGCCAGCAATATACAGACAAATAATTTTTTTATTTGAATTTTCTATGAAAGCTGACGGAGGGGAAACATCATTTTTGACTTATATAAATTGTTGACTTCATGTAGCCAACCGTTGAGCTGAGCGGAACTACTCAACTGTGCGTTTCTGAAACAAACACTCAATAGTTTAGCAACAGCTACGTCTTAGAAACGCGCCCATTGAAAAAACAAAGTTACATATCGTCGCTGCGCCAACAAAAACAGTTATGTGATTTTTGTCATTATTATTTTTTTATTGCATATTTTATTAACACTATCTATTGCCCACATTTCTGCATTTGCCGTTTTCTTATATCTCTTTTGGTTTAGAACTGATCAAAAACAGCTATGTGCTCGCAGTATTAGAAATACTCTGAAAAACGGGTATACGCTTACTTGCTTATAACTGTCTTTTATCGCAGATGAGCGTGCTTTGATATCGATACCACTTACACTACATAGATTCTACTATTTAATTTGATCGCTTGCAATTGGAATTCAACAATTAACAAAGGTAAAAAGTATGGAGGTAGACACCGTCCACTCTACATTAGAAAATGTATTCAATCCACCGATATATTCACCAATGGATTACATAAGTCGTATGCGACAGGCGAGGCCATCACATCCTTATGTTGTTAATTATTTAGAGTATACATATGAAATTATTTCTTGTATATACGAGCTTTCATTGGATATCACTTATCGAAACTTTGAAAAAGTGCATTGGGTCAAGTTAATACGCTGACCGAAAAAACAGTTCGCAACTCTGGTAATTTCATGGTTTCTACAAAGTATTGGGGTATTCACAACAGTGTCGTAAGTGTCGTATTGTTGTATGTAGTAAACTTTAAACGCCTAAAAAACATGTTAAAGGGGTTCGCAAAGTACCATCAAAGTCGTATTATGTATTTTCTCAGTGTTGAAAAATTGTTGGTTGTGGTTTCAAGTTCTCTAAACATTTATTTAAGCTTATAAAGTTTACGACATACAACAATACGACACTTACGACATCGCTGTGAATCCCTCATATGTGTCCATTCATCACTTTGCATTAATTTTCATTACGAAAATCCAATAAAGACGTTTCTGACCATTTTCCATTACATAACAGGAGCAACGGGCAGTTAAATAATCGAGTCCTCAACTTCTATACGTTGCATCTAGGCTTAACGGCAGTATTGTGTACAAATTACATACGATTCCGTACCGCCAATAGCAAATTTAAATCGTGTATAAAACAGCTATGTGCTTTAAAGCGGCGCAAATGTTGATCACGTCGCAATTGGTCAAAAAAATTGATTTTTTTTCCTAAATCAATAGCATATTTTTAATATAATTTTTCTTTAATACTACAATTGCAAAATATTGCCTATTGGCACCAGGAATCAGTTATACACAGTACATACTAAAATTATTTTGTATGCTTCCAAACTCTTCGCTCTAGTAACTATTCTAAAAGTGGATTTTTCACTATTTATGCACAATGAGAATATACATTCTAAAAATATTATCCAAAATGTTATTGCACTAATAAATTGCTACTTTATTAGTAGAAACGTTTAGTGCCAAAAGACCATCCACAATCTGATATTAATTGGTATGATATTGACATTTTAAAACCATTTCGAAATTTGGACAGATTTTAAACAGAAATTTCCAAAATTGTTTCACACAGCTTATCAACATAGTGAAATCATAAAAAGTATGCCAGCCAGTTTGATGTACGCTTATTTCAAGGCAAAATTTGAGTTTCGTCAGTTTCGCTTTTTCAATTCTGGTATTAATCTGGGTTTTGTTACATACCTCTGCCCGATTTCAGCTAAGATCCTCATCCTGATGCACTGAAAACATCATACTGCAACGATATGTGTGCTTTTGCACAAGCGGCAAGAGTTTATTGACAAATTTTTTTTTTTAATTATTTACTCAAATCAAAAAACTTCATAACTTCTCACTCAAAAGGTTTAACATGAAAGCATCGTACAGTTCCATAAGTAACGTAACTCTTCTTCTTACCGTTTTTTCTGGCAGGCTGTAGGTGTGTGAGAGTATTGGTGTTTTTGGTTCATTGTGTTAGTGTATTTTGAATAAATTGTAATAGAAATAAAAGAAATTGTAATATAAATGGTAAAAGATAAGAGCAAATGTCAAAAAACAGGTGATCTCAGCTGTAGGCATTTTTTTGCAATCAGCTGATAGTGTTTTTACTTATGAAACTGTACGATGCATGAAAGTCAAATAAAGGAAAAAATTATGATAATAAACTGCCAAGTAAGTGTACAGAAATATAAGTCATTGCTAGCTGGCACACTCCATATTATTTGAATATGCTTATAAACATTTAACAATTATCGCCACTTCCGAAAATTTTTTTTGAAGGTTGCTCAAAAGAACTGAAAAAATTGGGATTTGTAACTGTTTAAATGAATTAATACATTTCACTGGGAGTTATTACTTAAACACTTATCGAAGTTACGATCGTTTCATTTTCTTGTTGTATATTTTTAATTGATGACTGTTGATATTTTCATTCGATGCATCGAAAATATCGATGTTTTTATACGATACATCGATATGCATCGATGCTATGTTTCGATGCATCACATCGAAAAAAACATCGACGCATTTTATTGACTTGCATCCCTAGCTTAAATTACTTTTTTCAACTGCGCAAAAACTTTGAAAGCCTAAGAATTCGCTGAAAAGAGTATCCAACTCGATGTCTTGTATGCAATGCCAGTAAATTGACAAAAAAGTGTAAGTTGTAACAACCTGAAAGTTATTTTTGAGATAACAAACAACACCCGACCAAAAAGATCAGGCCTCTTTTTAAATAAATTGTATTTTGTTTATGTGAAATAATATTCCACAAACAAAATACATGAGGAAAAAATACCGAACACCAAGTTACCGAGTACAAATATGTAAGCTCAGAATTTAAAATTCAGTACAAATCAGTACAAATTTTGAAAAATCAGGACATTAGCGTACTGATTGAAGAAATTAATAAAATCAGTACGAGAGATGAAAATTCAGTACTGCACTGATAAAATCAGTACGTCTGGCAACCGTAGGAAGCCCTCAAAACAATTCGGGACAAGTTAGACGAAATAGCGTAAATACAGGAAACAGAGACAATAACTCGGGTCAAAAGAACCAAACTATAGAGAGAGAAAAAATAATTATTCTAACCAATTCAGGTTACACAAAGGAGAAGCAAGACACCCAGAGGCGTAAATATAGGGTGGCATTGCTGGCAAAATGCCACCGGCCCCGATCCGAGAGGGCCCCGGCCTAAGAGACCGCGAGCCCTGAAATAGCCTAACAATTTTGACAACACTAACCTCCGCACTCAGAAACATTCATTAAAAAAACATAAGGGCTCATTTTAATTATATTTTTAATAATTTATTTAAACACTTTTTTCGTTCACTTTGAAATTAAATATAAAAAAAAATATTTATATCAATTTTATATGATTTTCAAATGTTGGCAAACTTCAAAAAAAAAAATCATGGCCGACGAATTGAGAGAACGGTTTTACCTTACTATGTTTTTATCATGCAGAATACTATGCTTAAAGTATAAACAAAAAAACACAATTTCCAATCAAAATGATTTGTGTAGATCAGGGGCCTCTCTTGTAGAAGATTTTGGAGGCTGTTATATATGTAATTACGATGTTTGATTTCACTGTTAAAAAATTGAATTAAACAATTTTTCAGGGTGCTCGCTCATTTCATTTACGTCAGTAAGAAAATTATTTGCAACATCAATGCAGTTCCACACATATTTAGCAAAGACTATCTAATATAACAGAGTATGGTTTTACTGACTTCGTCCACGAATAATTTAATATGATGGTCTTATACATTTTTCTTAGAAGTCATACTTTTTCCGTGCGGTTTACTTAGTTAAAAAATTTCCTACGCTTTTTACCAAAAAGGGGGTTTAGTACTAAAGCAGAAACCAGAAATTGAACATAAGCGAGGAACATACGCCAAACATACTTTTTTGATCTTAACGCAATATGTTAGTGTTTGGCCGAGCTTATCCTCCAATTCGTGGCGTGCGCCTTGATGTTGTCACACAAAAGGCAAGGACCTACAGGTTTACACCGACTCCGAATGGCGATTGCATTTTTATGAGAAGCTGTTTGTTCATGCCAGAAATATACTTGGAGGTTTGCAATTGCCTGCCGAGGGGCGACCGCTATTAGAAAAAAACTTTTTTGTTTATTTTATTTTTTGACGTTGGTCGGAAACTGGGCTTAAGCAGGCCCTGAGGAATGGTAGCGCGCACTGCTAACCACTACACCACAGCGGTCGCTCATTGTTAGTTTTATGAAAATTGTTAAATCTTCTTTATTCCTTTAGCAGGTGGAGTGTAATAAGGCCCACGGAAATAACGCCCATGGGCTTTGTTTCCCAAAAAAAAAGAGAAATAAAGCCCATGGTCGTTATTTCCATTTCGAAGGGAATGCCCACCAATAAAAGGCAATAAAGCCCGCGGGCTTTATTTCAAAAAGAAATGACGTCCACTTGATTTATTTCACAAAAATTATAGTTAAAAAACTAAACACACGCTTTTATTACAACAAGAACTGAAAAGTATAAAATAATTTATAGATATAGCGATTCCCTTTTAAGAAGAATAGGAAGTTCCCTAACTTGATTTAATTTAACTTTTTTAAATTAGCTAAAAATAGGATTTAAGTGATTGGCCCGTAGTCATAGTTGTGAGGACCCCAATCCTAGGGTTTGGAGCCCCCACAACGTTCATATACATATACATATAATATTTTCAATTGTACATAAAATATATATGAAATTGTTAAGTAATACTTTGAATTGAAAATACATACTTTGAATTGTAGCCACATATTGTACAGCACTAAGCGATTTGAACTACCGTTATAATTCATATAATCATATACATAAATACAATTGTACATACACTTTAAGCACGATGGCAATAAAGAACAAAGCGCAAAGGACAACGGGACATACGCGACGCGACTGCGGCCGGCAATTTGTATAAATAGCCGGCCAGAAATCAAAGCAGAGAAGAGTCGTCAGGTGACTGCTGCAGAGTCAGGAGCTTTTTGCACACATAGGGTAGGCTCTACTCCCTATGTTAGATATCAGGAGACGGGCAGGTTGTACTCCCACTCCTATAGAACTTAGCTAGGTATTTAGAGACGGGCAGGTTGTACTCCCTCTCTTGGAAGGTTGTGGGTAGGTTCTACTCCCGCTCCTTTACTATAGCTGTAATTATATTTGGTGGGACGGAGCTACGCCCATCAATCGGAGAGGAACGGGTAGGTTCTACTCCCGCTCTCTTAACGTACGACCCAGACAGACGAGCGCTTTGCTATTGATCGAAAACGAACTCTTTTTATTTTTTTGTTGAGAACCCGGCAGCCGATGAGCATACCCTAGCATAACCCGGAGTTCGTCACAAATGGCGCCCGAGCAGGGACTAGATTACACAATACTAGGACAAGTTAGA